TTAAACTTTAAAGCTGTCATTACGTATGTAATTAAAATTATGTAAATAGGGAATATGCGTGTGATTTAAATAAAGGTGAAATATCTTTTTATTGAGCCTATATTAATATTTTTTTAAGCTATTTCTTATTGATTAAGAAAATAATTATTAAAATGTGCAAAAACAGGTGGGTAATTCAAAGTAGTTGAAACGCTACACCGTTGGTAATTTTTCTGTGTATATCATACTGTGACGTCATGGACAAGCGCGCGAAATGGCGAGCTTTTAAAGTATCTGTATCGGTATGATATTTTTAAATAATTTTTTTTACTTAATTTTAGTTGTTTTTGGAGCTGAATATTTTTTTAGAATTATAAAACGATGTTAGCTATTGTATAAAAAATTAGAAAAAAAAATCACGTATATTACCTATTGAATTTTTTTACCAGTTAAGTTTGCAAAATAGTTACATTAAGTTTGAAGATACTCTTCTTTTGCAAATATATTTTTTTTTCATTAAACTTTCTTGCAATACAATATTTACAAAACAATTTACAACCAAAATAGAACTAACCCAATTCTGCTAGGAAGCTGTGTTGCCCTGTCCCTTATTAATCTACGGTCACGTCGAAAGTGACAGCCTGTCAACTAACTAGCTATGTCACGTTAACTATCAAAGAATAAATTAATTTTAGACGTGTTTTCTCTATTCTATGCGAGATCGGCGAAATAAATCGTTCACTTTTTAATTATAACTACCCTTGCCTTTGGTGGAATTTTTCATATTATATATAATATACATACGAGTTAAAGAGAATGCCCTTGAGGTATAGCTTACAAAATAAAAACTTTTTAACAAAAAAATAAAAACCGACTTCAAACAAAAGCACTAAAAAGTAAAAAATAACTGATTGGTAGTTTTCATTCACTATACATACCTAATCAAATATTTTCGAAGTCGGTGTGCTTTGCTTTGTATCGGCTGACACCGACTTCGAAATATTAGCCGTTGAAGAGTTTCTACCTTGCCATCAGATCAGGTCAACAATACCGAACCACTGTACTATCAGCGGAAATAGAAATACTTGCAAAGTTTCAAGTCAATATGACAATTAGAAGTAGGTTAAATTCATCATTAGCTATTTTTCCACCCTCAGGGGTGGTATTTTTTTTTTTAATTTAAATGGGACCAATTTGGAAGTATACACTTTCATACAAAAATCATAAATTGCCTAAATCGGTTCACAAATGACGTACGAGTTCTGAGGTAACAAACATAAAAAAAAATACAACCGAATTGAGAACCTTCTACCATTTGAGGAAGTCGGTTGAAAAGACACAAATTCAGTTTTTTTTTTTCAACTTAATCTAAAATTAATGACAATTTTTTGTTTGTCTGTCTTTCTTTCACGTCGAAACGGAGAGACGGATTGACGTGATTTTTGTGTGGAGATATGTAGTTGGACAGTGACATAGGAAAACTACGGAAAAATACGTTATAATACAACCCAATAATTATTTATGATTAGAATTACTCGAAACTTACTATTAATGCTCTTCAATACAATTAAATAAATACGTGTTGTAGCATTTTTCTAAATTCATCCCATAAGGGGGTAAAATATGAAATGAAAATTTGTATGGAACTTACTTTTTTTAGAGTTTTTCTGTAGTTTTAGCGCGAGGGAAGCCGCGTGTTCTGCTAGTATATATATCATCATAAGTTAAGTTAATATTCAGCAATTAGCAATATAAAATATTAGTATTATTCAGAAATACCTACTATGTTTTTGTACTCACAGCAGAAATAAAAAATATAATATTTGGTAACCATTTTAGTTTCTCATGGCACTTCTTTAATTTCACTTATCATTACAATTTACGTAATGAGGTACATTAACTAGCACACTGTATAGTATACATTAGCTTTAGATCGAAATATTTGTTTTTTTAAATGAAGATATAAGTATAAAAATGAATATTTTATGATAAATTTTCGTTTGAAATAACAAATACTCAAATATTTCATTGTTGGCCTCCCGTAGTTCACCACAATGACCAAATGTCAATTGGTGAACATTACACGTCTTTTGAAAACCAGTTAAATTCTCTAAAATATTCTGATATCCTCACGATCTTTTTAATTACCATGTCAATATGTAGGATACTGTACAAAAAAAACAAGAGACTAATATAATAATAGAAATGAACTTTAAATACGCTACATGTATTCAGCCATTTTTTAAGTCCCACTGCTGGGCACGGACCTCCCTTAAATACGAGAGGGATCAGGCCATAGTCCACCACGCTGGCCAACTGCGGGTTGGCGGACTTCATATGTCTTTCGAAAACTTGTCAGGTTCTCTCAGAAATGCAGGTTTCCTCACGATGTTTCCTACACCATAAGACAAATGGTAATCATGCTGAAATTGATTCGCAGATGAGAATATCAGAGGTGCAAGATCCAAGATTTGAACCCGCTTCACTCTGTTTCTCAAATGAGCACATTACAATTGGGCTACCACTACCTTACACTACACGCATACGCTAATTAAATTCATTAAAAATACAATTTCATTCATGTCAATATTTATTGGACACATGTACTTAATTACGTTTCGTGTTGATGGAAAATAAATACTCGGTATATTAAAAAGCGTACATAGTAGCAATACAATAAATGCCATTCCTACAAAATTTATTAATTCTTTCATTGTTGAATTATCTTAGCTGTAATAAACTTATAGAGATAAAAATGATGATTATGTGAGTATGTTGGAAGAAATATCTGAAACTGCTGAAATATTCTAAATTTTTATACCCTTCAAAAAATAATTTTGAAGCCTTCTCTGATCTAGACTATTTCAATTGACTCTATCCAAAGTGGAGCTGCAGGCAAAAATTAGACTTCAAAGATATGTAAGACGCGCTCATATTTATTTAAATTATCACGTTTTAACAAAAATATAGGACGGATTATAATCAATTGCAATAATTAGTTAAATATTAACTTTAATTTTTATTTGTAATTAGTTAAGTTTAACCATAAACAAAATAATTTTTACAGTCAATAAAAGCGAGTGATAATATCCTTCCTACGGTCCGGATGTTTACCCCCGGCACGTGGTCGCGGGGCCAAAAATACCCCGCAACGATGCGTTCAGTGACTGCGATACATGAGATTAGAAATTTGATGCCCATCGCAAGATACATACATGACTGTAAGGTACAAGCTAGAAATTTTCACGATTTCTGGGATAAAAAATAACCTATGTGCTATTTTAGACTAATCTTTCTCTGTGCGAAACATTCAGATTCGATCAGCAGTTCTGGAATGATTGAGTAACAAACATCCATCCATCCAAACTTTCCCATTTATAATATTTATTATTTCTATTATGGAATTATAATAACTAAAATATCAAATACTTGACTCTTTCTCTTAAAAATAAAAGTTCGGTTAGCATTGAGGAGCAGCACCTGCCACGCTCATATTCATTGATATAAAAATCAGTACTTATAAATTAACATTTACATTTATCCATCATAAATAATATTTTGTAATCTATTAAGCGACATCAATATCTGACTTATCTTTTAAATCAATACTAGCAAAATATAAATAAAGACAAAGGAAAGAAAGGAATGGCTCAGAAATTACTTTGAATTTTTTAATAATTTATTTGAAGTATTAATTATTGGTAGAGGTAGTGTTAGCTCAGTGGTAGCGCGGTCGCTTGGGAAACCGAGTGAAGCGGGTTCAAATCCAGGGTCTTGCTCCTCTGATATTTTCATGTGCGAATCATTACCAACATGATTACCACTTGTCTTAACGGTGAAGGAAAACATCGTGAGGAAACCTGCATATCTGAGAAAACCCGCACTTGGCCAGCGTGGTGGACTATGGCCTGATTCCCCTCGTACTGAAGGGAGGCCCGTGCCCAGCAGTGGGACGTTAAAAGGGCTTAATACATACATAAATAATTTAATGGACAGACATAATGTCCAAGAAAAAGAGTATGTAGTATATACAGCGATACATCAAAGTATCTTCTATTTATTATATTAACTAAATTAAATCAATTACACATTTACTTCACACTTAACAACGCTACAATAGTAATTAACAAAATTGACTAAAGTACAACAACATTAAAATCTATGTTAATTTGTGGTCAAAGAGCTTTGTAAACATCAAAACCCACAAATGGTTCGTCAGTTCAACGCGGCGGTAAAGCAATTTGCAATTAAAACCATGTGAATGTGTCTAACTTTAAAAATTTATCACAGAAACATTCGCCCCTCTGACGCGCATTCCGTAGTATTTTGGTATTCGACTCAAGCAGGGACAGTTTGGATGAGATCCAGTTGAGCGCGAGCGCACTAACGAATTGATCGTGAAACGCCATAAATATGTAACTAAACATTATTTATCAAATATTTTGAATTAATAAAATATTTCATATCGGGTTTTTTTTTACCACATACGATATTTAAGGGTTGGTTTAATTGAAAGTGTATTTTTCCCGTTCCGAATCCGCGCGTGTCTGTGTGTGATTGTGATGAAACGTTGTGATTGTTTTTGAAATTGAATTTTAGATACTGGTATTGATATTTGGAAAGCATATTGGATATATATTTATTTTGAAAATATTTGAAATAACAGAAAGTGTGAATAGAAATATTAAACAGAGTGTGGTTGGACTCGGCGTTAAAACCTTTATAATCCTTTGTAAATGTACGAAAAACTCTTTGCAAAAAAATTCTGCAATTTTATCCAAAAATCCAAAAAAGTAATCAATTCTAAATAGAAATATTTAAAAAGATATTTGAAACATAACTAAACAACTGTAATATTTGCCTCAGTTCAAAAGTGACTCACAGTAATAAAACCGAAGTACCAAACTATAAACCTAGAGTATTTTAGGACTGAGAAATGAGAGCGATGTATAAACAAAATGGCTGAAACTATTATAAGTCACAATTTGTTTATTTATATTGCCGTCTCGCTCTTAATCCCGATGGCAGATGAGGGTTTGGCGAAGGTATACGAAGATCCTCGAAGCTTCTCAAGGGATCAAAAACGTTTGACAAGGGAATACCACTTAAGGCAGGGTGCGTTGCGAGGGTTGATTGTGAAGCCAGGCAAAAATTATGATTTGCAGCCAGTTGAAATGTTTTTAGGTATACCATACGCTGCCCCTCCAGTTGGTACGCTAAGGTTCATGCCACCTGGTAAGTTCATGTAAAGTTCACTCTAACATATACTCAATTTAAATGATTTAGATGCCTATTTTATTTATAACTAGCGAATGCGTTCTTCAGTTCGAATGGTTTAGGAACTCATAAAGGACAAACATCCAAAGAAAAAATATTATTTTTTGCGCCACGAACCTTAGCAGGCGTAAACAAAATAAACCACCAGAGTTTCATCACAACCAGATTAATGGCTTAGGATGCATGGATAACAAACATACGAACATTTATTTTTATTTATATAGATATACAAGCAGCGGAACTTTTGCCAAAATTTATTACTTACAGTAGTCTTCAGGTCATAATTCCATCTCCCTGTTAAACTTCATCCAAAACCATGTTAATCCATCCATGCCGTTTTATCATGAAGGATCAACAAACGCACACACAAACACACATAAAAATTTTGCAATTAATTTAAGATTAAATAATATTTTACAAGTATAAATTCAATATCATTCAATAATTACATTTTAATTAAAATACAGAATAGTAAGTGAGAAAAGTGCAGTACGTCATAAATCAAGCGTAAGTTACTACGAGTATTAGTAATCTTTATCTCTTTTTCGTGCTTTTTGCATACTAAATCTATATATATAATAAAATTATAACTAAGCCGAATCTGTACATTAAATATTTTTTGTAAAATCTTATTGAAATAGACATTATTATCGATACAGAGGCCGAATCTATAGTTTTTAGAATTTTCACATCACCGCAGAATTACCGCATCACAGAAAAACCACTAGGCGGATTTTGATATAATTTGGTATGATGATAGCTGGTTATCCGGGTTAACATATAGGATACTTTTTATAGCGGGAAAATATCTCATTTCTGAGAAAAAATACAAAAACTGCATTGTAAGAGTATACTAATATGTAAAACCTAAGAATTTGGTTTTTAGTCATCTGAACGTGGGCGGAGCCGCGGGCAATGCTAGTATTGTTAATAAAATTGTATTTCTTGGTTAGTCAAAATGGACAAAGTTTTATGCTTAATAGAGTAAGGAGCTTACGTGACTTTTATAATTTATGGCACAGCGATGGTCATGGCTGTTTCGTTACATCACTTAAATCCCATGAGACTACGATCTCTTTCAGTACTACATAAATCAACGAGTAGGATAAATGAGAAGGTATCTCAGACTTATTTAGAAAAAAGACTTATCTAGATAATATGTGTCTTTCCGTCTTTCAGTCTAATAGACTAAATAAAACTATCTTTTCGGATTTTTTCGCGGATTTTTTTGGATCTTTGGTTCCCGACGTTTCGAATGCTTTACAGCATTCATTGTCACGGGAAAGACTGAGGTGTTAGATGTCTCCATTATAAATACTTTTATTTAAAATATCAAATATTCGTGTAAATCTAAGAATAGACTAATCAATAGAGTAAAAAGTTGTGGTAGCTCATCGGTAAAGCGTTCATTTGCTAGACCTAATAAAGCGGGTTCAAATCCGTATCTCGAACATCTAAGATTTCCATGTGCGATATATGTAAGTAAATATATTGTCAAAATTATCACCATATTTTGTTTACAAGATGCAAAAAAACATGAAACCTGCATTTCTTAGAGAGTTTAATAACTAGTTTTCGAAAGATGTGTGAAGTCCACTAAACTGCATTTTGCCACCATGGTGAATCACCCTATACCCCTTCAAATTGATAGAAAACCCAAACCCAGCAGTACGACAGTAAGAATAGATATTATTAATATTATTTTAAGCACCCTGAATTCTTATCTCAACAAATAAATTCGCGAAGATACTTAACACAGCATCCTGCAATAAATGATCTCTTGTAATAAACTTGCAATACTTATTATTAGAAAATATACACAATGAAAAGCAGAGTTTCTCATTTAGTTTATTACAAAGTTTTCTTTTCATTTGAATAATCCGAGCTTTACAATGCGAATAAAATTATGAATGGCTTTCATTTTTCTTCGTTTATACAATATTATGTTAAACTATAGTTTCAGTTGCTCTATAATTCTAGTACTCTTTCATTAAATGCTAGCTTTCGTGTAAAGTTTTACTTATATAATACTCGTGACTTACCCTTACTTCGCTCAGGTCAATATTTGCCCAGATGCCTATATTTCTTTGTATCCTGTATGCTTTATTATTTCTTTATATCTTATATCTATTATGCCTTTTGGAATGATTCTTTTTTTTCTAACAGAAGCATATGTGTTTGCTCATAGGTCATAGACTATCTGTGTACTACATTCATAATCGGCTCAGCCGTTTTAGCGTAAAGTAGCAATAAACATACACACATACATTTTTTTGTATTTATAATAGAAGAGATATTTATAATACTTTCTTAGCAAGTACAAAATGAGTCAAACTTTTCGTTAAAATTGTATTATCAAATATTTACCGTAACAGACTATGTTAATTTTTTCTTTACATTAAGTTGAATGAAAACAAAACTAAAATAGACGACCTAGCCCCACTAAAACGCTAATATCACACATTTGAAAGTCCAAAGTTTTACAAATGTTAAATGTTACGCTTATTTGTGTTAAGGCACTTAAATTCTCTTTGTACTTTGAACAAAGCCATCGCAAAGTGTACTTGTTAACGAACTTCAAAGAATGATATAAAACAACTGTACGTGAAATACTCATTTTATTTTATTGCATTCAGTTTGGATTCTAATTTGTATACATAATATATACAGATAAATAAAATTGAGGTGTCTGTTTGTAATGTTAAAATAACAGCGTTTTACTTAATGCATATGAAATTATATACGGTACTTATAAGAAAAACACATTTTTTTTAATTTTTGTCTGTCTGTCTATCTGTCTGTTTGTTCCGGATAATCTCTGAAACGGTTGGACTGATTTTGACGAAACCTTCACTAGAAGATAGGTGATGGAGTAACATAGGCTACTTTTATTTTAGGAAAAGAATCAGGGTTCCGCTCAAAAAAAATGTACCTACATAAGGACGAACCCGAGCGAAGCCAGGATGAGTCGCTAGTAATATCTATATAAATAAAAAAGTATAAACGTCTGTATGTTGAGAGTTCTTGTATGATTGTATTGAAATCTTACTACTATATTATAAATGCGAAAGTTTGGATGGATGGATGTTTGTTACTCAATCACGCCAGAATGGCTGAACGGATCTGGATGAAATTTGCACACAGATAGATTATAGTCAGGAATAACACATAGGCCATTTTTTATCCTGGAAAAATATACGGTTCCCGTGGGATAGATTTGTTTCTTGTTTTTCACTAGGAAGGAACCCGAGCGAAGCGTGGATGAGCCGCTAGTATTGACATATATTATGTGTTTTGTTATTAGGAGAAGGTTTTTACGTATTCCATTTTGTTGTAACTCGCTAATAGACAGTTTTTATTTATATATTACATCATATATATATTATATACATCATTTTCTACATCGTTAAATAAAATTACCATAAAAAATCACATTGAGTACGTACGTAACGAAGGACCCACGGACGAAGTCATCGGCAATGATCTGTATTAGATATTATAACAAAATTTTAATATAGTTAAAGCACTTGAGTTTATTTTTTAATTAAAAGGTGAGAGATGTAATTAAATCCCTATAAACAATTTTAAGACTGGCCTTTTATACCCCATCATTCAATTTAATCGAGAAAAAAACATTTTTTTATCAAAGTCTGTCGACATCAAAATCTTTTTAAAAGTAATTATTTTAATTTTTTAATTTACCCAAATTTATATGCGACTATCTTTTATCCTTTTATATATAACTAGCGACTCACCCTTGCTCCTCTCGGGTTCGTCCCAAGCCACATTTTAACGGTTAGTATTAGTTTATCAAAGACTAGCGGCTCACCCTCGCTTCGCTCGGGTTCACCTCTAGAATAGCACAAACAGATCTATCCCACGGGAACCGTTCATTTTTCCGGGATGAAAAGTAACCTGTTATTTGACCGGCAGTATAAGGTATCAGCATGCCAAATTTTACGAAATTAGGTGCGTAAGTTGTTGTGTTCTAAGCTGTATAAATTACTATAGTTTTTTAGCTATCCCACGGAAACTCTTTAATTTTCTGGAATGAAAAGTATCTTAGATGTTGACCGGGGATATAAGGTACTACCATACAAAATTTAATTTAAACCGGTTCAATAGTTTCGGAGATTAGCCCGTACAAACAGACAAACAAAAGAGAAATAACCTCTACAGTTTTATTATATGTATAGATAGAATAGAATAAATAACGTATAATAAAACAGTAATATATAATAATGAAAATAGTTATAGCGAGTGTACCTTAGGAGAAAGACATATACTATGTAGAACTTTTCTATAGACCTTTTTAGGACTTACAATTTTCTTGCACAATGTTTTGATCTATCTCTTAAGGTTGAGCCAACGTTGGCCATATAAATTTTTTGCCCTTGCTTCGATAGAACCAGTTATTGTGTTTTCGAGTAATCAATAATTTGCCTGTCGTAAAAGGTATCCTAAATGTTAACCCGAGTACTAAGTTTTATCACTACAAAATTTAGTTAAAATCGGTTGAGTACTTTTTGCGTGAAATGCGCACATCGATTTGACTAAGTTAGTTTTATTATACGTATAGATAAGAATAAATATTGCGAGTGTAACTTAGGAGATAGACATATACAATTCAGAACTTTTCTGTAGGACTTTTCAAGACCTACAATTTTTTTGTATATTGTTTTAATGTATGTATGTCTTAAGGCTTAGCCAGCGGGAGGTTTCTAAGGAGGACTCTATAAAACCAGTTATTGTATTTTCCCGTGGGAAAGAAAGATTTTCTTGAAGTAAAAGGTATCTAGGCAGTGGTATCCCAGTGGTAACGCGCTCGCTTGGGAAACCGAGTGAAGCAAGTTCAAATCCCGGGTCTCGCACCTCTGATATTTTCATGTGCGAATCATTTCTAACACAATTACCACTTGTCTTAACGGTGAAGTAAAACATCGTGAAGAAACCTGCATGCCTGAGAGAACCCAGCAAGTTTTCAAAAGACATGTGAAGTCCGCCAACCTGCACTTGGCCAGCGTGGTGGACTATGGCCTGATCCCCCTCGTACTGAAGGGAGGCCCGTGCCCAGCAGTGGGACGTTAAAAAGGGCTGAATACATACATACAAAAGGTATCCTAAATGTTGACTCGAGTAATCTTTATAATATTAGTATAGATAAAAATCGGTCAAGTACGAGTCGAATTAGCACACGAAGGGTTCTGTACCATCGTACATGTACTTTTTATTAATATGACTTTTACTCTGTGTGTAGTACTTCTTCGATTATAATCATTAGCTACCAACCTTAAGAAAATAAAAAATAAAAAATGTTTCTTGTATTTTATTCTTTTATTTTTAGTTATTTTTATTTTAGTTATTTTTACTATAGCAATATAAATACATACTCTGTGAACATTTCAACTCTACCCGTTAAGGGTTACAGCCTTCTGACAGACGGACGGACGGACAGCGGAGGCATAGTAATAGGGTTCCGTTGGCACCCTACAGCTACGTAACCTTAATAATAAATAATTTACTATAAAATCATGAAAAAAACTGTTAAAATTGGTTAAAGATATCTCGTAACATACACACAAAAGTATCTTTTCCTTTCAAATTAACCAATAAAATTAGGGTATCTTTCGTAAATAAAGACTAAATAAAGCACAGACGAGCGGAATTAGCAATTACAAGCAATATTTTCTCTAATACTCGTTAAAGCTGACATACTGACATGCCATTTCCTTCAACACTTTCCTCCAATAAAGTTAATTAATTATAATCTTAATTTACCGACCAATCTCTCTTCTCCATTTTACGTGACGTTGACGAAGTAATTTGAACTGCTTAAAAGCTCACAAAGAATATATAATTAGCTAATTAGAAACCCAATGCTGTGGTTTGATGTATTGAAGGAGAGATAAACACGTATGGTCAGTCGAGGCCTCATTACGATAAGTGTTCTGAGTTTTAATAGGACCAAAAAGCCTGGATATAGGGAAAATTTGATACTTATATTATACTAGCGTTGTCCGCGGCTCCGCCCGCGTTCAGATGACCAAAAACCAAATTCTTAGGTTTCACATATTAGTATACTCTTACATTGCAGTTTTTGTATTTTTTTTCTCAGAAATGAGTTATTTTCCTGCGGTAAAAAGTATCCTATATGTTGACCCGGATAACCAGCTATCACCATACCAAATTTCATCAAAATCCCTCCAGTGGTTTTTCTGTGATGCGGTAACAGACAGACAGACAAAAATTTTAAAAACTATAGATTCGGCCTCTGAATCGATAATAATGTTTATTTCAATAAGATTTTCCAAAAAATATTAAATTTCACGTATTATAAATACTAGTAACTTACACTCGCTTTGCTCGGGTTCTAAGTCATTTTGCCATTGGATGTAAAAACATCGAATTTTCATAATCTACTGTCATTTTTCTGGGAAATTCTATTATTATCAGTAGCTTATATGTTATACCAGGTTCTAACCTATCTAAGTAATTAAGTTCATCAAAATCTGTCCAGCCGTGTCAGCATCAAGGATTAACAAATCAACAAATCTTTACATTTAATACGTGATTTCTACCACTACCTTACTTCTCGACTCAAATTCAACGACACGTTTGGCTCAGTTTGTAGTGACCCTACTTGATGTGCTAGCGGTTGCAGGTTCGAATCCTGCTGGGAGCAATCATTTGTGTGATGAGTACAAATGTTTGTACTTTTTTTTCTTACAGATGTTGTTGCTATGATGTAAATAGTATATTCCCAAAAGGTTTTCAGTAAATTAAAAATGACCCTGTATAAATGTGCTTTAATTATGATACTCGTAATCGAAAGCTTGTAATTTTGTCAACAAAATGTAGGCTATATTTTATATATTGTAGGCTATTTTATATATCATATTTGAGGCATTTTGCATTCATTTGTGTAATGAGCACGAATATTTCTACTCCAGTCATGGGTGTTGATATTTATAATATGTATGTATTTAAAGTTATATACGTGTATGTGTATTGTATCAACTATCTAGTATCCATAACACATGCCTCGTAGTTTACCATGGTACTAGATGGTGCTGTCTGTTAATTTCCCAACATATTTATTTCTTCTTTCTTTTCAGTCAGTGCCCCACCTTGGTCCACGACGAAAATGGCTACACATTTCGCACCAGTCTGCCCTCAATCATTGCCGATTATAAAGAAAGGAAATCCACCGTCTATGGGAAGGCAACACTACTTAAGCAGATTAAAACCATTCCTTACAAAAGAGTCTGAAGATTGCTTGTATTTAAATATATATGTGCCGTATCGAGGTAAGTTTACATTGAATAACAACAATTATTACATAACTAGCATTGCCCGCGGCTTCGCCCGCGTTCATATTACCAAAAACAAAATTCTTAGGTTTTACAGATTAATATACCCTTACATTACAGTTTTTGCATTTTTTCTCAGAATTTTTCCGCGGTAAAAAGTATTCTATATTTGACCTGGATAACCAGCTATCACCATACCAAATTTCATCAAAATTCCTCCAGTGGTTTTTCTGTGATGCGATAACAGACACACTGACAGACAGACAGACAGGCCAAAATTCTAAAAACTATAGATTCGGCCTCTGTATCGATAATAATGTTTATTTCAACTAGATTTTCCAAAAAATATCTAATGTACAGATTCGGCTTAGTTACAATTTTATTATATGTATAGATTACCTATGCTACCTATAATTTATATGAATTGCATGCTTAGTTAGATAAGACTAGCTATTTATCCTCTCTTCGTTCGGGCGCATTTCTAGATACGCCATTTTGTTAACAATTACATGGCATGTAATATTTTTTGCGCAGAACCTTGATTATTTTGCTAAAATGAAAATTATTCCTTATAACATCAACTATCTACCAGTGAAAGTCCTGTCAAATTCGGTCCAGCCGTTTCGAAGATTAGCCGGAACAAACAGATATAGACAGAAAAAAAATTAATATATATTTTTTAATATGAGTACCGTAAAACACCTTCAGTATGGATTTAGTAAAAATCTCTTATATTAACATTACAAATAGACACTTCAATTTTATTTATTTGTATAGATATAGAGAACTTTATCAAGAGAACTAGAAAGTTCATAATCGCTAATAGAAAACAATGTATGAAAATGACATGTTAAAGCGTTATGTCACGTGGTCAAGCTAATCACTGAGATTTCCATATAGCTAATAGAAAAAAAAAATAGATATATTATTTTTGTTTTCTATTTCTATTATTAATCTCTATCAATTCTAGATATCGACACGTTTAAGAGAGCGACTTGGTTTTACCAATTTGATGCATCTGAAATGACTTATTTTTTCTGTTATATTTATATTTTCTCGAATTTAACTTCTTCTTTTCTGATAGAGTAAAACAAAATTAACTTTAAAAACTTTAACAAATTATCTGTTACTAGCGATTCTTCCTAGCTTCTCTCGGGTTCTCTCCTAGGTTGCTTTCCCATACAAACTTTCATCCCCATATTCACATCCTTAAGGGATGATTTCTAAAATAAAAACTATTCTATGTCGTTACTATGGTCAAAACTATCTTCTCACCAAATTTCATCTAAATCAATTCAGTACTTTCTTAGATTATTCGGTACAAACAAACAAACAAACAAAAAAATCTTTCCTCTTTATAATATTAGTATATATATGGGCACTAAACCCACGAACTCTGGCAAAAACTACACCATAGCGCTGTACAGCATTAACTATTCATTTTAACACCAATAAAATCAGTTTAATAGGTTCCGAGCTATTAACACATAAACACACGCGAGCTTAGCAAAATATTGACACTACAGTATAAACACATACATTAACCGAAATGAAGTGGTAAACTATGTCAGATAAACATTTTTAATCTGTCTGTCTTTATTTTTTTTTTAATTGTCTCAGTGGTCTAGTGGCTAGCATGTACGGCTGTAGATCCGGAGGTTCTGAGTTCGAGTTCCGGATCGGGTCAATATCAGTTATTGTAGATTTCATTTAAAAAAATACTTGTATTGAAAGTATTACATTCAAAATATTTTCTTCAAAAATTCCGCCGTGGGCAAAATCGATCAGATGAATATCATTATTATATACTAATTTTTAACCGCGATTCCTCTTCCTCGATGATATCCAAAAAAATATGAGTCCATTTTGGATTTCACTCTTTGTTAAATCGTTACAACGTGAAGAAATAACAAGCCTCTTCACTGACTTACTCACTGACTCATTCAAAAACTGACGCATTTATAATACTCGTAATAGTTAGCACTAGCGACACCTTCGCTTCGCTCGTGTTTGTCCATACTTACATTTTAGTATAGAATTCTCAGAGATGAGATATTCAAATTTCATCAAAATCCTTCCAGTGATTTATCCGTCATGCGGTGACAGACAAAAATTCTAAAAACTATGGATTCGGCCTCTGTATCGATAGTAATGATTATTTCAATAAAATTTTCCGAAAAATATTTAATGTACAGATTTCGTTGACCTCCTTATGTATAAAATACTAAGCATGGGCATGTTTGAATCTAAAAAATTAAACTTTATATTAGTTTAGAAGCTTAGTTATTGGGATTAAAAAAGATATACATACATATTTGGTTTCTTCGCTTTTCAGTATCTTATTATCAGTTAAATTTTTTGTTTAAAAGCTTTTATTTTACGTTCTCAACTGAAACTGAAATTAAAAGTAAACTTTCAGAGCGAGAACTTACGGCGGCTTCTTTTAGTTACACAAATGTATGAGATAAAACAATTTTCATCAAACATTCCTATATAAAAAAAATTTGGACTTTGAATTAATAATAAATTAATAGTTTTTTTTTTAAATCAAGCTTTAACAGGTGTATTTTCTTCTTTTTAGCTCATTAAAAAAGCTTTAAAAACTTAAAAATATAATTATGTACTTTCAAGAAATGTTAAGAAAATAATTTAAAATAATTTTTTTATATATATATTTTCTAATTCTACTTTTGGTATAATAGCCGTTTCCGTCTTATTAAATCGCCTCACCAAAAGTTGTCTGGTAGAGATTGCTTTAAGTAATAAGACCTCCTTTGCATACCTTATCTATTTTTTCTAACTACATCAATACATATAATAATCTGTTTGTATGTTCGAATTTCACGCAAAAAGTACTGCACCGATTTGGACTAAATTTTGTATAGTAATAACTTAATACTCTAGTCAACATTTAGGACATTTTTTACAGTAAGATAATCCTTCATTCCTACGGGAAAACACATTAACTGATTCTATCGAGTCTATAGTTTATAAATATCTAATTAAATAAAAATCGATTCACAATTAGCGATAATATCTTATATATCTCCAAAAAATAGAACAATTGAGTACCTCATTATTAAAATTGGTAAAAAATAGAACGTGGCTCTAACTCACTCAAAATGGGGTCAGCTCCATTCATTTACCCAGTACTATTTGAAGAATTTAACTAAAACTAGTGCGGACATTGATTGACGTCGCTTTCGCTAGTCGGCGCTGAAATGCTCGCTTAATATTGTTATTTTTCCAAAGTAAATTCGACTTCTCTTTTTAACATTCTTCTTTTATTATTCTTATCGAGTTAATTTATTTTTTATTATTGAATCTATGGGGGATTATATTAAAAAAATTGGAACGATATTTAATCGAGATATTTTTACTTACGAGATATTATATTTTCTCCACAGCATTTTTTATAAATCACTGACAGTATAATTACTGAAGTTTCCAATTCGTTTCAACCATAAAAAGACAATAAAAGTTAAGTAACATCCATTAAAACAACGCCAAGTTTCTGAAATTTCAACGTTTTTTGCCATTCTTACTTTATGTAGAAATCGATAGCAGAGTATTAAAATTTGTTTGCACCAATTTCAAAAATTCTAAATTAGCCTATATTTTTATGATATACTAGCAAATATATATAAATAACCTGCTCCCTAGGTTGATTCGCCATACAAACTTTCATCCCCATTTTTACCCCCTTAAGGGATGATTTCCGAGATAAAAAGTATCCTATGTCCTTTGCAGGGTCTCAAACCATCTTCTTGCCAAATTTCATCTAAATCGGTTCAGTAGATCCAGAGATTACCCCCTACAACCTCACAAACTCACAAACTTTACCTCTTTATAATATTAGTATAGATATACGCCATTGTTAAAACCTTAGATATAACCCACACTACGTAATTTTGCCGAAAAAATAATTTTATAAAATTAGCATCATCTCTTAGAGCTGAGATAATTATTTTTAAAGTTATTTTTTGACTTCTTGAATCTAAATGCATGAGTTAGATCTTTCTGTCTCAATAGAATGTATCAAATTAGAACATAAACAATAATATTTTTTCAAATATTTAGTATTTAATTGTCTTAATATTGGGTAATTCATTTAATCTAAAAAAAAACTTTTTGGCTTTACGTTATAAGGCCTCTCATCTCACCCTCGCTTCGTTTGGGTTAAATGCTTCGGGCATTAAAATCGGTCGAGCCGTTTCGGAGGAGTGCGACCACAGGCACCGTGACACGAGATATTTATATGTTAGATTAATTTTATTTACCAATTATTTTGAAATATAAAATATTGCATATCCTTGTAATATAATCTTTTGTACGATAGCACGATAATAACCTAATTCGAAAGTTTCACCGCATTCCGAAACCCTTTAAAGTTGTTCGAAATAAATTTATTTTTAGACCAAAGTATTTGGACACTCCGTGGACGGAAGTTCTATGAATAGGTTCAAAATGAGTTCACACGATTGAGGCGCCATTGTTACTAACTTTATACGTTTGATTTACTAGTTTATGTGAGTGACTTCGGTTAGAAACAAAAACTAACCTTGCAGTCCAAGCAAAAATAACATAAATCTATCCCACGGGAACCGTAGATTTTCCCGGAATAAAAAGTACCCTATATGCTATTCCAGACTGTTATCTATCTCTGTACCAAATTTTATCTAGATCCGGTTAGCGGTTTCGGCGTGATTAATACTTCGTAGAAGGTTCTTGCATTAAAAAAATTAAAAAAATTGCGCAAAAACTTAGAAACTTAATCCCGGAAATCATACCCTAATGGGGTGAAAATGGGGATGAAAATTTGAATTGGGAAGCAAGCTAGGCAAGACGAACCCGAGCGAAGCGAGGGTGAGTCGCTAGTATGTAATAAATTTCATCCAAATTACACACACATACTTTAGTATGTAGACTGATTGTTCCAATGTCCCTCGACCTAATTCTAATAATCTACTCCTATACAAAATTCTAATCGTCTGTGA